TTCTCCAAAGAACAAGGAAAATTAGACTCAGTTGAGATCCAGGTTTGGCTGCCTCTCAAATCCTACTTGGTGACTTGAGGAGAACCCTGTTCCAGTTACTACTGCCACATAACAAAACACCCAAAAGCTTAGTGCTTTAAAATAATGAATCATTTTGATCATGAATCTATTTTTTTCAGGGATTAATGGGGAAGCTTTGAATTCACTCTTCACAAAGTCTGCTGGAGAGACGCATGGGTCAGCTCCCTCCCATGGTTGACCAGTGAGTGCTGCTTCCAGTTGGAAGCTCAGCTGGGTTGAAGACCAAAGGTCCTGGTCTCTCACAATGAATAGCACTCCACATTGGCCTCTCTGTGTGCACTTGGGCATCCTCACAACATGAGTGCTGTGTCCCAAGGACAATCATCTCAGGGAAACCAAGCAAAAGCTATGTCACCTCTCACAATCTAGATTCACAAGTCCCACAGCATCAATTTTGTCATTGTCACAGGCTATTCCCAAATTAAGGACTAAAGAACACATCTCACTTCTCAATAAGAGAATCATCAACATCATATTCAGAACTAAAAGACAACCTACAATGTAGGAAAAAAATTTTTACCAGCTGCTCCTCAGACAAAGGGTTCTTATCCAGAATATATAAAGAACTCAAAACAATCAGCATCCCAAAATATAAAGACCAATTCAAAAATGGGCATCTGAAATCAAGACATTTCTCATACAAAGAAGTAAAAACAGCAAGTAAATATATGAAAAAATGTTCCAGATCACTGGTCATTCAAGAGATGCAGATGAAAACAACACTGAGATTCCATCTCACCCCACAAAGAATGGCTGCTATCAAGAAATCAACCAATAACAAATGTTGGCGGGGTTGTGGGGAGAAAGGAACCCTTCTCCATTGTTGGCGGGAGTGCAGACTGGTGCAACCACTATGGAAATCAATATGGAGATACCTCAAAGACCTGGGACTAGAGGTTCCATTTGACCCAGTCATAGTTCTGCTGGGTATCTTTCCAAAAGAATTAAAAGAATCATATCACAGTGATATATGCACACCTATGGTTATAGCAGCACAGTTTGTAATAGCTAAAACTTGGAAACAGCCCATTTTCCCATCATTTGGAAATTGAATAAAGAAGATGTGGTTTTTCTATAAAATGGAATACTACTCAGCCATAACGAATGAGAAATTAGTCATTCATAGGAAAATGGATACATATTGATGTTATACTCTTAAGTGAAATAAATCAGTCACACGTGTAAATACTGAATAGTTTCTCTGGTGTGAAAAACTATAATTGTACGTAAGATCTTATGGTATAATTGACAATGTGAAATAGGAAGAAAAGGGTTAAAGGTGTAGGGGAAGTGGGAAGGGTAGGGGAAAGGAAATAAGTGAAAAGAAAAAAATTTGAGAAAATGAAAAAATGGAAATAAAGTGTTTGCAAATAGGGAGGGGAGGAGAGAGTGAAGGGAGGTTAAGGGGAAAAAATGAGAACCAAGATGTGTCATGTAAAGGTACAAGATCCCAATGATGAATGTAACTGTACTGTATACCTAAAATGTACCAATAAACTCAATGGAAAAAAAAAACCCATCATATTCAATAAGACCATGTGAAAAGTGATTCATTGTGATGTCCATCTTTAGAAAACACAATCTGCCATGTGCCACAGAGGAACATGGGAATGTTTTACCTTATTCTCCTTTCCAAAGAAGCCTCTCTGCTCAGAAACCCAGGCCCTTTCCAGGCTCTAACAGCCACATTCTTTCCTTGCCTGAGAAGTTTCTTCTATAAAATGCCTAATAGTGTCACTGGGAAGATGAATCTCAATTTGACCTTCTGTGGAATGACTGATCTCAATTAAGGGTGGTAAGCCTCAAATTTAAGAAGCAATTTACAGTGAAGTGTGGTAACTAGAAGTGGGTATGATTTTAACAGAGACAGGCAGTTTAAGAGAGAGAATTAAAAAAAAAAAGAGAGAGATGAAAGAAAACCCTGTTGAAATCATCCCAAGGTAACCGTGGACATGCCCAGCACTGCACTCTGAGAAGTGACATCAGAGACTTCCTAATACAGGAGAATAGGTTTTAATAAAATAGCCCAGACAAATCACCCAATGAATAAATAAGCAAATAAGTCTCAGGGAAGAGGGATACACTGAAGGATGAGGATAACAGAAATGTCTACAACTACTACCACATATTATCTAAAATGTCCAGATCTCAACGTTTGGGAGATACACAAAGCAACAGGAAAGGGTGACTCATAAACTGGAAAAAAGCAGACAAGAGATATTATCTGAGAGGCTCCAGATATTAGATTTAATAAAGATTTGAAAGCAATATTATAAATATGTTCAAAGAACTAAAGAAATAAAACAATTTTAAAAGTAAAGTATGATAAAAGTGTCACATCAAATAGAGAAATAGATAAACTACATTAAAAAAATTAAATGGAAAGTTTGGAGATAAAAAGTACAGTTATGGAAAATTTAAAAACTGTGTGTTTGGAAGAAAAGGGCTAAAGGTGTAGGGAAAGTGAGAAGGGTAGGGGAAAGGTAATAAGGGAAAAGAAAAAAATATGAGAAAATGGAAATAAAGTGTTTGTAAATGGGGAGGAGAGGAGGGGAGAAGAGAGGGCAGGGACAAGGGGAAAAATGAGAATCAAGACCTATTATGAAAAAGGTACAAGATCCCAATGATGAATGTAACTGTATTGTATACCTAAAATGTACCAATAAACTCAATGAGGGGGAAAAATTGTGTGTTCTAAATTTTCATAGTTTAAATCAATTAAAAATCTGGAATAATAACCCAACTCATATTTATATTTCTTCTGTGGATAGAAATATTTAGCAATTGCTTATACAAATCAGCTGCATCCATCTCATTATTCTTCAGTGAACCTTTTTATCCTAATCTTCCAAATAATTGTTTATAAACTTTTGTAACCTAATCCATTTTAAGAGAGACTTCTTTTACTTGAATGCTGTAAGTGACTGAATCCAAAAAGGTTTAAAGGATGGCAGAATGAAGATAAGGTTACACATGAGCACACGTTAGCAGATGAACATATAATTAGTATTATACCATTTCTTCTTTAAACATTATAAAAATTTTCAGCCATTACAATTAAAGCAAAACACCTGTCAATTATTCATGTATGTTTCCAATCCTAAGAAAATATTCCTGAATAAACAGAAAAACGCAGAGACAAGTTATCCTCCTCATTCAATCTAATTTTTCAAGGAGTGTCTCTGTAAGATTACTCATAGCACTTATGTATCTGCCATTATGATTAATAGCTCTCATTATTTCTTCCACTTTGAATTTGGTGGTAGAAATTTCATTACCAGATAAGCCCATTTTGATTCAGATACATGCAGGGTAATTATTAAAATCATAAGGTGGTTACTTGGGGTCAGGATGATGATGAATCCTCAGCTTGTATTGGATGAATAGTTAATAATCACAGCAATGAGAACTGGTCTAAAGCTTGCATTTTTATATTTGAGAAGTTTTGGCTGCTTTAAGTTTTGCCTGATTCAGAAATTTTCCTAACTAAAATATTATAGCAATATTGCCTGATGTTTCCATAATTCTTTGTGCAAGAGTAGGAGCAATTTGTAAAAAAGAAGTATGTAGCACTGGGAAATGGACACAAACACTATGCTTTACTCTTTCTTTGTGGGTTCTACTGCCTCCTAGGAGACACTCCTCTGATCCTGCCAAATGATGTAGACACTTTATCAAAAGGAACCAGGTATACTGGTATGTGTAATTCCAAAAATGTAAACGATGGGCACAATATAACATCTTCTTGCAGTTACCATCTTAAACCATGAAGACATGATATATTTGAATCTATTTTAAATATCCATAATAAGTTTTTAAATTGGGGGGGGTAAGGAAAATAATAGATGAATTAGGAAAAAACCTCCAGGGCAGAAATGAGCTAATAAGGAAAGAATTCACCAAAGAAGCTAGAGACAAATACCACAAAACTGAACTGAAGGGGTAAGATTCATGGGGAATTGCTGCAGCCCAACCTAGTCCTGACAGTGTTCTCTCCCACTTGGGAGGCATCCAAATAAGAACAGAAGCAATGACCCTTATAACAATCCCAAACCATATCTTCTGTCATGGTTCCCTCATCCCTAACCAGAAAAAAGATAATTTTCTACTTCATCTTCTTAGAAAATTGAAGTGGGCATGTCTTTCACACTGCTCAGCTTTAAAAGTTTAGAACTACTTATGTTGATTTGCACACAATAATTATTTACTTAATTAACAAGCTCTCAGCTAGGCTTTCCTTTCAACCCTTAACAAGCTGAAAATAGTTCTTCAAAGAAAAAAAAATACTCCCTAAATAGGATCCATTGCTCACAAAAGGACTTATTGAACTCCATTTTCTGCGTGGCTTCTGCAGTAAAATTTAAAGTGGTTCCATGACAGGATGGAAAAATTCCTTTAATATAAGAGATGGAAAAACAGGAATCTCACATGTATTTATCACTGAAGATGCAGAAATTCTAAATTTAAATTATCCATAAAGTCAATATCTTTAGTAAAATTATTAAGAATAACAAGAAGAATAAAACATGCAGAAAAGATATATATTTCCCCCACACAGTTGGACATTAACCTTAAAATAAAGCACAGTATTTAGAGTTATAAATGCTTTATTTCATAAGTTAACAGAAACATAAAAATTTAATGCTTCTGGCACATTAATAACTTTCCCCTGTGGCTCAGGAACTAAAAATCCAAACCAACCAATTAATCTATGAATAAAGAGAATTTTTGAAATGATTTAATGGAATATCGCAAATTCCAAATCCAAAAGGCCTTTTACTCTGACCCAAAATGACTCACATGTCAAGAGGATAAAGTGAGTGGATGTAGTAAGTAAATGAGTTTAAGAAGAAAACGAATAGTTCTCTCAGGGCTGAAGAGGAAGAAGCTCCCATGTGGCCCACCCACTGCACACTCACCAAATGTCTGATTTTGTGTTGTAGCCTTGGTGTTTAAGAGCCTCAGGACTCATATAATGGGGAGTTCCAGTCAGAGTTGTGGCCAGGTCACAGGATCCCATTAGCAGTCGAGAAACTCCAAAATCCCCTTGAAATAATAATTAATCTTTATGAATACTTTTAAACAAAAAAAATCAGCACTGGAAATTAACAGATAAAAAAGTGTCTAATTTGATTATTTCATTATTTCATTTTAAAGGGCATGAAAGGGGATAGTTTAAATTACATGATGCTTTTAAAGACATAAGCTTTATAGGAAAAGACGTTGAACCAGGGTAGGGAATTTTATGTGTAATTTAAAATTATTTTCTTCTAGAGTTATGGTGAACTAGATAACTTGATATAAAATGCTACTTCAAGTCTGAATAAGAGCAAAATGGAGTGATTCTGAAAGAACTGAATATGATAATATGCAATTTTATCTGATGGGGAAGTTTTTTCTTAATTTGCAATAAAGTAAATGTTTAAAGAACTAAAATATTCAAGAGCATAATTAAAACAATGTGGATCCACTGGGTTCTCTATCCTGCATAATTAGTCGCATGCTTTAATTCCTTCGCTCCCTAAGAACATCTACATGGTGCTTAGACAATCCAGTACCTAACTACATGAGTGGAAGTACAGTTTTGAAGAACCAAAATCTAATAAAGCCATGATACCAACATTTTAATTAGCTATAAGAAATGCTTATTTCCTATAATTTTAAAAAGTGAGAATCCTACACTAATTACTCAAATCAGTTAAAACAAAAACACAAACAACCATTTTCAAAGTACCTGGTATGGAACAGCAACTCAAAGCATATCTGTTAATCAAGCAAGAATATTACAAAAGTTTTATATCTCAATTTATATCAGATAATCAGAAACAAGAAAATTGGACTTTGGCCCATCCAGACAAGAACAAAAATTTGAAAATTAAAAGAAATTATTATTCCAATGTTTCCATGTACCATATACCTCAACTTGATATACATCTGTCCTGTGTTTCTGGAGTATACATTTTTTAGAAAATCTTACCAATTTTAAGTAGATTATTTTTCAGAAATATATTCTTTGATTTCAAGTCTCGATGAAGTATCCTCCTATAAAAGGTATAAATAGGATATATAGTTTCGTTGCAAGATATAAAATTTTAAATCCAAATTTAAATAATATAATGCATAAATAATATTATATTAATTATTATATTATATATTTAATATTATATTAAATAATATAATGTTATATGTGAAGTGGTTTCTTTTAATATAGCTTTCAATGTTTAAAAGCTACAAAATTATAAATATTTTTTAGTTTCACTGAGGAAATAAGACCATTTTTAAAATGAAGATTTTAAGAAGAGGAGAATATGCAGTTGGGAAAAAGGGGATATGCTTTAACTGTCACAATAGGCTAGATTATATTGTGCTTTTGCAATTTGACTACTATAGTCCTATATCTAATAACCATGCCCTCACTTGACAAATTATCATAAAGTTTTCTATTATTACCCAAAAGTTTAGGATTTGTATATTTGTGAAAGTAATATAATGATTGGAGATACCTCAAAGAGCTGAGACTAGAGGTTCCATGTGACCCAGCCATAGCTCTGCTGGGTATCTTTCCAAAAGAATTAAAAGAATCATATCACAGTGACATATGCGCAACTATTTTCATAGCAGCAAAGTTTGTAATAGCTAAAACATGGAAAGAGCTCATTTGCCCATCAGTTGGAAACTGGATAAAAAAGATGTGGTTTATCTATTAAATGAAATACTACTCAGCCATAAAGAATGAGAAATTAGATTCATTCATAGGAAAATGGATACATTTCGAGGATATACTCCTAAGTGAAATAAATAAGTCACACATGTGTAAATACTGAATAGTTTCGCTGGTGTGAAAAACTATAATAGTACACAAGATCCTAATGGGATATTTAACAATGTCAAATAGGGACAAAAGGGCTAAAAGCGTAGGGAAAGTGGGAAGGGAAGGGGAAAGGGAATATGGGAAAAGAAAAAATATGACAAAATGGAAATAAAGTGTTTGTAAATGGGGAAGGGAGGAGGGGGTGAAGGGAGGGCAGGGACAAGGGGAAAAAATGAGAACCAAGACCTGTCATGTAAAGTTACAAGATCCCAGTAATGAATGTAACTATACTGTATACCTAGAATGTACCAATAAACTCAATAAAAAGGAAAGAAAAATTTAAAAAAAAGAAAATAATATAATGATAATGTGTAAAGGTAACATTTATTGAGTCTTACTAAACCCATAATATAAATTATGTCAGTTAAGACTTTCATTTCAGGAATTGTGGAGAACTAGATTATAGAAAAAGATATCTGCCTAAATTTAAAAAAAAAAAACTAAAAATGTTGAATAAAGTATATCAAGATCTTTACATATACATAGCTAAGCTCATAATAAAATTAAATAAGTCCCCTGGGTAATACAAAAAGAAACTGAAAATCAGTGCAGCCGTAGCAACTATGCTGTGCTCTGTAGCCTATGGGGCTGGCTTTAAAGGCCACACAGAAACAAGAGTTCAAACCTTGAGCTCAGGCAGTGCTCAGGTAGAGGTGGAACTAATATACATACACATACATACATAAAATTATGAACCTACATGTGGTCCATACTTTCAGTGAAAGGATAACCTAGGAAATATTCTCTCACAAGTAAAGAAAATGACAAGGAAGTTTATCTGTGTAAGTTTGAACTCTGCGTGAAAAAAAAAAAAAGGCTCTTTTCATGCTTTATGACCTTGTCTCTCTACTTACAGAGTTGAGATTCAAATATGCAGTAGCTATATGGTCTCAGAAATCCAAAAAATTAACATAAAAATTGATACTCAGTTGCTAATAATTTCTTGGGACACTGGACAGGAGCAAATGTAAACTAAGAATTAGTAGATAATAGAAAATGAAATTAGACCCTTGAGTATTTCAGACAATCAAACAAGATGAATAAAAACTATAAAATAAATATATTTTAAATGATTAAAATCATAAAGAACATAATAGAAAATGATGCTGATTTAAGAAAGTATCAAATAGAACTAGGGAGAAAAATGAGATTATTTTGTTTGTTTGTTTGGGGGGTATTGGGGATCAAACTCAGGATGTTGGGCTTGCGAGGAGAAAAATGAGATTAATGAAATTAGAAAGTCAAGATTAGGACATGCTTCTTGCTATTTACTCAATGGAGTTAAATATTTTAGTCCACACAAAAGGCTAAACAATGACGTTCAGAGCTTCTTCATTCATAATTGCCGAAACTTGGAAGCCGCCAAGATGATCGTCAGTAGGTGAACGGTTAAATAAAGCTGTGGTGGTACATTGCACATGGAATATATCATTAAATGGTACAAAGAAATTAGTTATCAAGCTATGAAAAGGCATGGAGGAAATTTAAATGCATACTACTAATTAAAATAAGCCAGGTCAATCTGCAAAATCTACATGTTATATGATTCCAACAGTATGACAGTCAAAAAAAAGCAAAACTATGGAGACAGTTTTTACTACTGCTAGTTTCCAGAGGTGGGAGGGAATATGGATTGGTATAGCACAGAGGAGTTTTAGGGCCAAGAAACCACTCTGCATGTTACTATAATGATGGATATAATTATATATTTTTTCAAACCCAAGAATGTACCACCTCACCTAAGAGTAGACCTTAATGTAAACCATGGGCTTTGGGTGATAGCAATGTGTAAATGCAGGCTCATCACTTGTAATAAATGTACCACTCTGGTAGGGACCGTGGGGAGGTGATACATGAGTGGGGGAGAATGCACATCAGGAAGCTCTACTCAGTTTTTCTGTGAGACAAAAAGTGCTCATAAAATTAAAATCTATTTTTAAAATTTAAACAGAGTTTTTGGTATATTCATAATCTTAGAAGACAAAAGTTGGATTTCAAGGTCTACGAAGGTGGAAAGATCTTGATTAAAACAAAACAAAAAAAACTAAAGTCTTCAGCAAAAAGCCCTTAAGGGCTACTTAAAAATCAAGGCAAACTAGAAATAGAACAATCCAAATACGTGAAATCTAACTTTAGATTACCTCAGTCCCCAACTGGATCACAGTGATTTGCCCCTACCATAACAACCAGTCATAGAAAAGACAGTATTATCTTCTATTTCTGAAATTTTCACACGTATTATTTAGTATTAGTATAGTGTTTAGAAAAAACAGTAGAGAATTACACCAGAGAACTAGATTTTATATCACTTATGATTCATGGTGCCCCACACCATATCTGTACAAATAACATTTCTCATTTCTCTGCTTGATGACACCGATGTGACCTGCTTAAAACTGGGTGACAGTTTGTGGTCAGCACTATCTTGGAGCTCCTATCTTCATCTCCTCCATCAGGCCATCTTCTCCCAGCCTCCAACAGCATTTGCTAGGGTAACTGACAATGTGAAATGGGAAGAAAAGGGCTAAAGGTGTAGGGAAAGTGGGAAGGGTAGGGAAAAGGTCATAACGTAAAAGAAAAAAATAGGAGAAAATGAAGAAATGGAAATAAAGTGTTTGTAAATGGGGAGGGGAAGAGGGGGTGAAGGGAGGGCAGGGACAGGGGGACAAAATGAGAACCAAGACCTGTCATGTAAAGGTACAAGATCCCAATAATGAATGTAACTGTACTGTATACCTAGAATGTACCAATAAACTCAATAATAATAATAAAAAAAGAACAGATATGGAGGTAAGCCTAGCCCATGGCAGAGCCTTGGAGACAGCAAGGGAAATTCCTTCATCTCCACTGGACTCCTAATCTCACTTTCTGAAACCCTGACTCCTTTCTCTGCAGGTCTTCCTTCCTCTGGCAGTCTCAGGGTAGATCACCAGCTCTTCTCTCCCAAAGTGCCAGTACAATTAGTGACTCCTTAGTGATGCACTAACACAACACTTAATCAAGCTGGGCAGGAGATGTGTGGGTGGTTAAGTGATGGGGGAGCCATCTTAGGGAAAGGACCCAAGCCTATTGTCTCCCCCAGTGTGAAAGCAATGAAATCAGCAAGACTTCAAGACTAAAAGCAGATGAGAACACTACAGATAGGCTGCTCCATCCTTCATCTTAAGAAACCAAGGCCAATGAACTCCCCACCTCTCTCTCTTTTTTTTTTTTTTTTTTTTTTTTTTTCGGTACCAGGGATCGAACTTGGGTCCTTGCCCTTGTGAAGAGGTGGCAGAACCACTGAGCTAAATTCCTAGCCCCCAACCTCTTTAACAAGAGTTTTTGTGTAACATTCTTAAGATAGTTTTTAGTTAACTGTGAATATTCGCAGCTTTTAATAGCATTATTTATGTGTTTGTGCCATATGCTGTAGATTTACATTATTTCTAATGTATAAATAAACCAAATTAAAATAAGTGAGTCTGCAGTAAGTCTGAAAATGAGTGAGCAAAATCTTCATTCTTCTGTAACCTCATTCCTCTTAGTTTTTCCAGGACTGTCATTATCTCCTCTGCCACTATACTTCGCTAGTCAGGGTTTTCCAAGCAAGCAAAACCAATATATGGTTTATTACTAAGAGTCGGCTCATGCAATTAGCCTGAGAAGCCCCACAACCTGCCTCTGCAATGTGGAGTCCCAGGAAAGCCAATAGTGTGATTCAGTCTAATTCTGACAGTCTGAGAAGCAGGAGGGCCAATATGTCAATCCCTGTCCAAGGTCAAAAGAAGATGAGATGAGACGTCCCTGCTCAAGCAGCAAGGCAGGAAAAAGGGGCAAATTTCTTCTTCCACATTCTGTGCCATTCTGGCCATCAATGAATTGGATAATATCACTCACATCAAGGAGATCTATTTTAATGAATCCATTGATGCCAATGCTAAGCTCACCCAGAAATATCCTCACAGACTCACCCAAAAACCCACTCAGGGTGTTACATAAAATAAACTATTATGTTAATTAAAATAATTTGCAAGGCATTTGCATCAGAGGAGCCAAATCTAACCTCTTCATATGCATGTACTGTTCCATGGTACTACTGCCTTTAATTCATGCATATTTTCAAAAGAAACTTTAATATCTACTATTTACACCATACATGAAAAGAGCTTTTGGAACAGTACCTTGTACTGTACATAGAGACCTATGTTTTGCTGGTCATACTTTGAGTTCAAAGCTGAACAAAACACTGCGAGGGGATGTATTCTTGTTCCCATGTATTCAAACCTTACTTGCCTTGCCACCCATTCGCCACCCCTCTACCACTGAGCCTGATCATGACTTCCTTTGGTCAGGGCACATGAGCAGACAGGATGACTTTCCAGTCTGAGTAGAAGCTTAACAGCTATGGAACATTGCCCTAATTCACTCTTGCTTTTGCCCCTGGCATGAGAGAAGCAAATCCCAGATAGGAACAGCTCTTTCTTTTTGGGTACTAGAAAGAGAAAATATGTGGAGTAGACTTGCAGCTGACCCCCACAGATGACATGCAACACAAGCAAGAAGAGGCATTTGGGTTTTGCTAATAGAGCACGACTCCCTTTGGCAGGAATGGGCTGTAGTGCTACAATCTCAAGGAAGCTATCAGTGGACTGAATATTCTTGGCTTCTAATATCATTATATTAAAGTGTTCATGCTGCATGTTTTTTTAAAAAAATAATTCCTGTAGCTTTAAACTTATTTTAAAATAAATAAATTTATTTTCTGAAAGAAACCTGGCTTAGACCTATACTATATTAAATACTGAAAACTAAGAAAAAGGAAAAATAGATTATATACTTAGGACCAGGAAAAAATACACAACCTGATTCTATTTAAAAATAATTCTAAAGATTGAGTTAAGATGCCTTTACTTGCCTTTACTACCCCACTCAAAACTCCCCAAAATATAAAAAACAAATTTTCAAAAGGATATTCATAGTAGTGCTAGAAAACAATAGTTATATATGGTCAAGAATTTTTGAAAAATCTCTGAAAGAATACAAAAAGAGAAATCTAAACCCTAAAATATGTGTACAAGAACCACCCCCCTCTGCATCCCTCCACCCACAGCAGCCACCAGCTTAACAAGGCACCCTACACAGCTCTCCTCCCTTCTCCATCTCACTCTTCCCACACACTGGCTTCTGTTTCTTGAGATCATCTCTGAAATAATCTACTTATACTTCAGTCTTTGATGAGGGGTGCTGACATTGGAGGAACCAAAGACAAGCCCAAATTCTTCCCCGAGATCTACAGTCTTGCTTCTACCTTCTTCATCACCTTCTTCTGACTTTGTCCCCTCATTCTCTCTCTGAATTTCACCTGTCATAGTCACAATTAAACAGCACCATTGTCTTAAATCTGCCTTTCTAACTTATCACTCACCAAGGCACAAAATTTCAGGCTCCCCTTTGCCCTTCTTCTACCATGTCTCACATATCCACTTCATTTCCAGTCCAGTCATTTGAACTTTTCACATTCATTCTGCTTCTTCCCACCCCTGTCTACTCTGCCTCCTTATTTAAGGTTTCATCAACTCCTACATGGATACTGTAAAAGGTTTCTGATGAATAGCCAAAATCCCCTTCTCTCCTCCCTATAGTTTATCATCTAATCTCTAGAAGCTCCAATCATACAGCTCCACTAAAAAGTCCCCTGTGACGCCAAATGTCTATACCACAAAATAAAGTTCTTGATCTCAACTGCTTTACCCATAACTTGTTCATACAACTCAGAAGTCTTCCCAACTGAACCATTCACCATTCACTCTAAAAGTATCCTTTTCCCCTACTTCTATGCCTTTTCTTACTCCATCCTCTAAACCTGGAAAACTCTTGACCAGTTTTTTTTCATATTTAAACTCAACCTTGGGCAAATGCTATTTCTTTCATGAAAGCTTACTTAATTATTCCAAATGTAAAGCTTAACCCATACTTTTATTGGGAAACTTATTACTTTATTTTTAGAGTATAACTTACATTAAAGTGGATAAATCTTTAATTTGATGAATTTGCACATATCTCTCGCCCTTGTAATCCTCCTCCCAGGTCTGAAGATTACCACCATCTCAGGTTTCTTTCATGTCCCTTTTGGTCAAAATTCCTCTCTAGGAGTAATCTCTTCTGTGACTCATCATCGATCAGTTTTGAACTTCACATAAACACAGTCATACAACAGTACGTACTCCCTTGTATGTGGCTTCTTCCATCCAACATTGTATCTTGGGGATTCAACTAAATTGTGCGTATCTGTTGTGTGTTCTTGTGTCATTACAGGCTAAAACTGCATTTATTCCACTGTATAACTAGCTCACATGTAAGCATTCTGCAGTAGATGAAGACTTTAGAGTATATTGGCTAGTCCAAGTAAGGCTTCCATGGACATTTTTGTGTATCTGTTGTTGGACATCAACATTCATTTCCACTCCTAGTAATAGAATTGCTGGGTCATTGTGTATTTGTGTATTTAGCTTAGGGAGTACTGTTAAATATTTCTCCAAAGTGATTATAAAAATATGCATACATCCTACAAACAATGTAATAAAATTCCAATTGCTTTCCATCCTTGCCAACACTTATTTTCAGAGGTTTTTTAGCCTGTCTGACAGCTGTGCCCTCATTTCTATATTAAATTATAATCATAAACATCACATAGAGTTTAACAGTTTATAAACTTCCTAGATCTATGATATCTCAATGCATATTCCAAATAGCTCTATGAAGTAAACAGGGAAAGCCCTATTTTGTAGTTAAGGAAACAAAGACTCAGAGAGGTTGAACAGCTTGTCCAAGGAGGGGGAGATACTAAATTTTGTACATCCACGGGGCTTATAGATATGTATGAGTTATCTCTGCTAGTTTACTAATAGTTCTCTGAGGTTAGTACTTATTTTTATATATCAATATTTAGTGAATAAATCAATGAACCTGAATATAAAATTGATATTTCCCTATTTACACATACAAAATTTATAATTGGTTATAATAACATAATGAATAAGAGGTACCATCATTTGTTATCTGAATCATGAAGTATCATATTTCAGATCCACAAGTCCACAAATATCTAAATATTTAGCACCATTTAAAGATTTCTTTGAATATTAAAGAATTTTTTAAAACTCAAAGTCTCCTTTTGAAGGTCATTTCAAATTCATTTATTTTGACCAGGCATGGTAGCTCACACCTGCAATCCCAGCACTTGGAAGGCTGAAGGAGGAGGATCACTACGAGTTTGAGGCCAGCCTGGAATACATAGTGAGTTCAAGGCCAGTTTAAACTGCGTAGTAAGACCCTGTCCCAAAAAAATTAATTTATCTTAACAGTCACTAAGTATTCTCAAGAACATCAAACATATTTGGGTTCTTAACCACATTTCAGTTTTCTATTTTGTGCATAGAATGCCATAGTTGACAAGTTTATGTACTTTTTAGTTGTTTTTCTTATGTAAGAAGGTAGTAGTATTCCAATAAGTAGTAAATAAAACAAAAGAAATACCAACATAGCTATATGTATGGGAAAGCTTTACAACCAGCAGCTTTGGGTAATTTATTTTAAAAATTATTTGATATTCCTTCATCACTGTCTCTTACAATAGGCTGACATCATTCCAAAGATTAATAGGAATTGTCAATGAACAAGTAGCTATCTATATCATCAAGTATGTGGTTCAGAACATATATGGCAAATTACAGGACAATACAATTACTTTTTATACTATCAGAAACCACAGATGACACATTTAAGCAATGTGACATCCATGGATAGCCAAACATTGCTGCACCCTACAAATGACCACTTTTGTTCCAGAAGAATATTACCACCTGTAATACTCATCATTCTGAAGGTAAAAGCTACCTCTTTGTCTGTGAATATTCACCTTTTAAAATGTATGCATATCACTTTATAGGTCTATAAAACATTTGACATCTTAAAACATCTTATTTTTGACCATAGGAAAATAATAAAAAGTTTTAAAATACATTGTTGAGGCAGAGATTACAGACAATAATTATATAAAGTTAACTCATAAAACATACTTTGACCCTCCTTTAACAGATATTTCATATAAAAATTGACTTTTTGTCTGAAAATTTATTTTTATGATGCCAAAGAATATCTTCCACCTCAATTACTCAGCTCACCTTGTGAAGTAAACCCAGCAAATTGTGCACTGACACATTCCAAGGTGACCATGCAACTCATTTGTGGTGTACCAAGGTATGTATAATTAAACCTGCTATGAGATACAATAAATACATGGCCTGCTAAAGTGATCAGAGAATCACTTGTAATTCACAGGAGATGATCAGGTAGGTAGAAGGGAAGACAAATTTCTGTATTATATTCAGAGGCAACTTGATTTCTAGAACAAGAGAGAAATTATTCAATTAAATCCTCTAGACTACTGTAAGTTTCCTCAGGAAAAATCACATAGATGTATAACTATAGCTGTTGAACTTTCAAATTTGTTTGCTTTCAAATTGACAGAAAAATCATTTTTCAAGTTTAGACACGACTGTTAAAAATACGCCCATTCTGAATAGCAAATGAACATACCTTTCATGCATATAGTCAACTCCTAGCAATAACTGTATAAACCATTCTATTATTTGATTTTCTGTAAAAGTTTTCCCAGCTTTTTTATATTCTTGAATCTTATAGTCCAGATCATGGCCCTGAAATGAGATAACATAATGTTTCATATTTTATTCAATTAGGGTTTTAAAAGCAAGCTCTCTTAACAATAGTTAATATATAGTAGTCACTGTGCATTATAAGAAAGCAAGAGTTATTACCACTCTCTAACTATGACTGACAAAAGATTCTTTCCTCAGCCAAACTCTAGCCAGGTTTGTCTGAGCCCTCTTCTCAACCACGCCTCAACCATGTCCTCAAAAGACTTGAACAAACACTAACATAGTTGCTAGAAGCTCAAGGCTCCATTCCTAAAATGATGGACATCCCCATCCTTAGAATACCTGCCCAATAAAATGCAAAGCTGCCAGAAGAATTTAATTTTAGCTGGACATGGTGGCTAATGTTTGTAATTTTAACACTCAAAGAGGCTCAGGCAGTGATTGTAAGTTCAGCCAGCCAGGAAACTGAGCAACTCAGTAAGATCCTGTCTCAAAATTTAAGAAAATAAATAAACAAACAAACAAATAAATGGCTGTAGATGTAGCCCATCAAACTCTGGGTTCAACCCACCGTACTACAGGAAAAATGAAGGAGGAGGAGGAGAAAGAGAAGGAGAAGGAGGCGGAAGCAGAGGCGAAGTTACTGTTCCAGCCAATACTAGAAGATAAGGTCCTTGTCTCCTTGCCTTCAAAGAAAGGCAGAAGTTTAATTTTTATAAACACATTACAAATCCAATGGGTTTCACATGAACCAACTTCCATTTCCCACTTTCTTTGTTTACTTCCCTGACCACACTGCCCCCACCCACCCCAGGCCCATCCCTCTAAAACACCCAGTAAACTGCACAAATTGGAGTGGAACTCAACTCTTAACCCTATTGTTTTTTGTTTTTTTTTTTTTACTGAATAAAATCTGCTTTAACTGCTTAAATGTCTGGCTGTATTTGCCTTTCACATCACTCAAGGGCAACTCCTTCTAAAGAAAATAAACTACCATGCACACCTCCAATCAAAATTATTTTGATTGTAACCTAAAAATGTACCCACATAAACTTTAAAAGTCTAAATGGAATGCTAACATGTACACATGCTAAAAATATAAGCCAATAAAATTAAAACCAGCGATATTAATTTAATGAAGTCATACTTTGGTGAAACTAACTGGTGCTTCCACAGTGCATTGAGCATTGATGGCAACTGTACAGATACTTTTGCATTTTCTATGCCCAGATTACTACGAACCTTGGGAGGACTAAATTCTCCTTTTCTCTAGCTACATCAAAACTTTCAGGAATACGGCAACTGTTGATCAATGCTAGGTCCCAAACATATACTTTAAGTATTTAGTCAGTCTTTGTCCTTTCACTCACTGGTGAGAGGTAAAATAATAATACTTATTTTTAATGCCCAAAATTAACCATGGTCCAAATGACAAATATCTGAAATTGCATAGTGGTGTCTGACATAATTATCACCCTTTCTGACTATCGTTGTATTAGTGTTCTTTAACTACCGTAGAAGTGAAAACAGTGCTAAATTCTCACAGAGAATTATTGAATTATTACATAATCCCATGTATCTTAAATGTCTGAAAAAATAGAGACAAATTGAGACGTGTTCTCAGAAGAGAAGGATGGGCTAAATGCAACTGAGTTTGGTTTTTACTAGACAGAAAGCATGGGTCACTTGGAGAATGGGAGGGATACTTGCCATGACCACCAGTACCAGAGCCCCTGCAGTGGGCTCTGATCTCCTGCTCAATGAATGATACACCACAAGGTGAGAAGAAAGATACAGAAACAGAGTTAAAGAGACACATAAGGGGAGCCAGGATGTTCAGTGCTTGAGCAGTAAGAGGCACAAGGAAGCAAAGGCCCTGAAAATCCAGAGCTGCCAATATTTATTGGTGACATCATTGTTAGATTGAGGAAAAGGGGCTACATGGAGGGACTATGTGAGTGGCTATGGATATGTTGCTGATGCAGGCAAGACTTGTAAAAGAAAAGTCAAAGTATTCTTGAATTAGGAACAGAGCATACAAAATATAGATTGTAGCCAATAATATGTCATTTTTAAACTGTGTCACTTGAAGAAATATAAAATTCTGTACTTTTCCTATCAGCTGTTGTATTATTTTCTTTGACAGGAAGTAGAATTGATTCCTGTGTGTAGTGTTTCCACAGTGACAGCATTCTCTCTGGGTGATATTTATTGCTGCTTTGCCAATCACTTCTTTACACTATTTTGCACTCTTTGCACTCACTGAAGTAGTAAGTGCAAGTTGTGTGCCTGTTTCTTGCATTAATATTAGGCATACAGTTTCTTATAACTACATACATATACATATGTGTTAAGATTGTTGAGGAAAAAAGAATAAGGCCTTCAATAATTAACCAAAAGAATTGAATAAAAGATCTAATAGAATCATCAACCTCAAAATGAAATGTCAAAAGGAGACACACAAACTCCCCTCTTGCCCACCGGGTCAGTACTGTAAGAAGACATGTATTAGTTCTTAGCATTAAGCAGAGGACTGTTCAGTCCAGACAAAGATGAAACACTGAAAGAATAAATTAACCAGAGAGCTGGGTCCCTGTGATTTTGATTTTGTATGTTTATCTCCAAGAAAAAGTATTTGTTTTGCATTTACTATATTCTTCAATAAACACTCTGTGGATTAGTTTCTGAGAATTTAATTAAGGTTGATAAATCATTCACAGATTAAGACAAGTTATTATTTGCTAAAACAAAGAAATATATTTTTGTGAAGCAGTCTGATTTCAACTCAACAATATAAAAAGCATTTATTACTTTCTTTCACTAAACTATATTTCCAGTAGAAATCAAGTCATTTTTTATAAAATATCACAACTCAGTTTAAGAAGTTCTTATTACAGTATATGTAAGTTTATTCTGTTTTCTTAACTTTGTCCTTGAAAAATATTTTATGGTGTATTTCATTGGTAGAAGTCCTTCAATGAAAAGAATATTGACTTGAACTTGAACAAATATTAATGTTGCCTTCACTCTATAATGCTGATAGAACATGATTTCCCTCACTAATACTACCCTTCAAATAAAGGCCTTGATGTTAACTTCTAAGGTTTTAAAAATCTGTAGCCCAAAGTATCATTTGGTAGATTAATGGTATTGCCTCACTCTCACATCCCAGTTAGCCACATCAGATGGACTTTGAAATACTGAGACCTTGAAAAACTAAAGAAAGACTCAACTGTAACATTTTAAACCTCATCTTTGATTGTCATTAAAAAGTTTTGAATCCTAAAGAATTTTTAAATTAATCCGTTTTTAAAGCAGAAGTATTTAAGATCAGTTTAAAAGACAAAAGTAGAGCATTCTCAGAAGAAGCCTAATACAACAAAACTGAACTGACAGAAGAATATGAAAAGGACAAAATAATCTCTGCATTTTAAGTCTAGAATGAGCTTGAAAAGTCAATCAGCCCTATTTCTTCCTTTTAAAATAAAAAGGCTACTCATTAATTCTCTGGCTTTACATCTCAGAATGCTGCTCCTTCACACTCTACATCTCCTTTAAACAAATATCCTTCCAATGAACCTCAAATTGTAGCATTATCAAAATTATCAAAGTTGCTTGTTTAAAATGCATATTCCCAGACTTTAATTAAGTAAATCTGCACAGGGCCAAGGAATACATTCTTTGTTGTTATTGCTGCTACTTGTGATTTTTAAGTCATACATATTTTTAACAAGCATCCTACATAAATCTGGAGGTGGTCCATGACCACACTTTAAGAAATAATTCCAGACAATGAATGGGCTGTGTACTTAATATTTAGCCCATCACTGAAAACATTTTGTGTAACAGTTTAAACAATTCCAAATCCAAAAGATTCACTCAGGAAAAGTAGAGCTAAATAAGAGTCACCTAATAATGACATGTTTTTAGAGGCCTGTGATATTACTTAACAACTAATTGAGAGGGAAGGGAAGAGAGGACATTCTTTATCATTATAGCATAGACCTTGGAAATACTTCCCTAGGAGTTTGAAAATTCACTGTAATGGATTACATAAAAAGCAGGAAAATTACAAGCCACATTATATCTTTTAAAGTAAAATAAGAAAATCCTGTTTTTAAATGGTAAAAAAATGTCATATAGTATCATGGCACGTATGTCTGATAATACAAATGGACATCCCTAAATTATTGATTCTTTCTCAAATTCTTTCAGAGTTAGTGTTCTTCTACTGAGATAAATGTACATGCATAAAAATGAAATGACAGAATTTATTTTATCTTAGAAGTGACATGAAATAATGTTTTTATCTATAAAACACCGTGTTAGATTTTTGAAAAAAACTATTTGAAGCTAGAATTATTTTAAGCTAGAATGATTCTACTTTTAATATTTATATTTATATAAATTTGTAAGTAAAATACAGCCATATCCCAAATGTTATAAACTTTATTGAGTTATGGACTGATTTACATTAGTGTGTTTCATTTTGTATGTGTGTGTCAGTGGGAATGAAATCCAAGGAACATGAAGCTACATTTTCAGCCATTTTTATTTTTTTATTCTGTGGCAGGGTCTTGCTAAGATGTCTAGGAGTGTGGTGATTACAGGTATTCACCACCAAACACAGCAATGTATTTTTTTCAAATGAAATTACTTTTGCTTTTGAAGTACTATATTAACAATTTCAAGCAAATCGAAGTGGTAGTACTTTTTAATTTTTGTTGTTTAAATTTCAAAATATTTCATAGTTTAAACAAAGAAAAAAATGGAAAAAATAATTTCAATACAGTAAAAATGATGAATGGATTACTTTAGGTGTATAAAAGCATGAGACACTCGTATTATTTAGGATCTTCCCAGACTGAACAAAATCTAGACCCATAGAATTGCCATAGCAAAAATTCCTGACTGGAAATGCTCTGGAAAACTCAAGAGCCCAGGTGAGATTTAGCTCTCTGAACATGGCTGCCAATGTGTGGTCAAAGTACAGATGCCTGATGGGAGCTCACACCACAAGCATCAATCAGTGTCAAAGT